GCGGAGAGAGAAAAAGAAAAAAGAAAATGTGCATAAACGAAAGTAAAGCAAAACAAAAATATCCGAAAAAAAATCACGAAAAGAGGAGTACAGAAGTTCAAAAAATAAAAAAGAACCAAAACACACGAAACAGAAAAGAAGCGATTTAAAAAGCCCGCCAAAAGGCCTCCGGAACCCGTTTTCTTTAACCGAGTCCGATGTTGGAGATGGCGTTGGCGATTCCCTGCGAGCTGGAGGAGCAGCTGCGGTTGAGGTTCCTGAAGCTTCCCTGAAGAGACAGACACGCTGCATTCAGAGCGGGGCATTAAGGCTCAATTCGGATTAACTTCAATTGAATTCTGGGGGATTTGGTTTCAACAAAAATCGTTTTTTTTCTTCTTTTTTAAAACTAAAATTGAATTCTGGGGGATTTGGTTTCAACATTTTTTTAAAAATAAAAAATTGAATTCTAGGGAAGTTGGTTTCAACAAAATTCGTTTTTTTTTTTTTTTTTTTTTTTTTTTTTTTTAACTTCAGTTGAATTGTGATGGATTTAGCTTCAGCAGAATTCGGTTTGTATTAACCTCAATTGAATTCTAGTTTAACTGAATTCTGCTCAATTACACTTGAATTCAGGTTATTCTAGCTTCAAATTGATTCTGATTACCTTGATTTGTTTTTAATTACCTCAACTTTCATTGAATTCTGATTGAATTAACATCAATTTAATTCTGGTTATCCTAATTTCAAATGCATTCTGCTTAAAATAACTCAACCTGAAATCGGCCTCAATAATTTTCAAATGAACTGTAATTAAGTCAAGAAAAATCCTTGTGATACTCTGATCAATGAAATTCTATTGTAATCCATTATTTGATATTGATTTAATTGATTGAGAAACTTTAAATTCTAATCATTATAAGTTCTGTTGAACCTGTTGATATATATATTAATTCTTGATTAAATTAGAATCTGTTAAATTTATCCGTAAAGGCGTTTCATGAAGTCAAATCAAGGGGAACAAAATTACTTTTCAATCAAAATCCGAAAAACAAAAAATCAAATTGATGCTGACGTTGAAAGGAGTGGCGTCAATACAACTTAAAAAAAGAAATACAAAAATACAAAATAACACAGACTCAAAAGCAGACATAGAAAGAGAGACAATGCAATTCTACGAAGAACATTGTCCTTGCTATCACTCCTTAGCAACCGCACCAACGGCTTCTTTCATAACAAACCGACGACCACTTACGGGCGGGCAGGAGGGCTGGGCGGGCACAGGGGGGGCGGTCCTGCGGGGCGGAGGGGGGGTACCGGGGGGGACTCTGCAGGGGTGAGGAGTTAGGTTAGGATTGTGTCATATATGTATATATATATATATATATATATATATATATATATATATATATATATATATATATAAACACACACGTACGAAATTGGAGGCAGAGTATCAAGATTTGAGCTGCCATGACTCGGCGTCAACTCACGTGTCGCGACACTTGGCGTTGCCGTCGCGCCTGGCGCCGGCGCGGCACGCGGACAGGCCGGGCTCGAACACGTTCCCGGGGGAGGCGAACGGCTGCGGGGAACGGCGCCCGCGGTGGTGCAGGAAGGGCGCGCCCGGGACCAGGCTGTTGGGGGGGGGGGAGGTGAGAACAAAGTCGCTCTTCGCTTTCCCTCCCGAGGGAGATGGTGGGGTCTAAGATGCTTAAGGTTATGAGGCATATCTGGGTCTATCTATCTATATATCATGTCTATACAGCACACACACACACACACACACACACACACACACACACACACACACACACACACACACACACACACACACACACACACACATATAGTGTGTGTGTGTGTGTAAATGCACACTGCCCAGGCGCGGAGGCCCCCGGAGGACTCACTTGCTGAGGAAGCCGAGCACGGAGACGGAGCCGTTGACGGCGATGAGCGGCGGCGAAAAGGCGTTCATGTGCGTGGGCAGAAGCGCGACCATGGCGTGGGCGTCCTCGTGGGCGTCGTCGTCGGCGTCCTCGTGGTGGTTGCCCACGACCGACTGGCCCATGATGAAGGGCGGCGGGAAGCTCACGTTGGCCGCCGCCTTCATGACGGAGGAGCCGATGGCGGGCCGCGGCAGCAGCGTCGTGCCCGCGGGCGTGATCTTGGCCTTCACGCCCTTGCGGGAGGACGACGACGACGACGAGGAGGAGGAGGACGAGGGGCGGCGGCGGGCGGAGGACGAGGGCTTGGCGCGCGGGTCCTTGGAGTCCTTGGAGGGCGCCTCGCGGGGCAGCGGAGCCCCGTAGACGCCGGCCAGGAAGTCGAGCGCGTCCGAGTCGAGCACGTTGTAGCCGGCCTCGTCCAGCGTCGCGCACACGCCGCGCAGGAGCTCGAACGACAGCGAGTACAGCTCGTCGCTCTGGCAGAAGGGCGGCCGCTGCGGGAGGGGGGGGGGTTAGGGAAGGGTGTGAGTGGGGTTAGGGAAGGCAGGAGAGGAAGAGAAGGGAAGAGGAGAGGGAAGGAGAGGTAGAGAGGGAGAGAGGAGAGAGAAAGAAGATAGGGAAGGAGAGGAAGAGATGAAAGGAGGGAAGGAGAAGAGAGGGCAGGATAGGGAGAGAGGGGAGGGAAGGAGGGAAGGAAAGGAAGGAGCCGCAAAAAGGACGAAGAAGAAGCGGAAGAAGCAGGGAAGAGGAAGTAGAAGAGAAAGACTGAGTCAGAAAAGAAGCAAAGGCAGAAAGGGAATCAGCAAAGAAGGCAATAACTCACCGATCCGATCTGGCGGAGGAAGGATGAAGGAGCAGGAGAAGGGCAAGAAGCAAGAAAGAGGAGATAAAAGAGAGCAGGCGAAAGAATAAGCCGTGAGAATGAATGACAAGAAGCAAGAGGAACCAAGAAAGACGACGATTTACCGAGCCGGTCTGGTAGCACTTCCGTCGTGGACGAAAGGGAGAGGCAAAGAGACGAAAGGGAGAAGGAAGAAGGAGACGAAAGGGAGAAGCAAGAAGGAGACGAAAGGGGAGAAGGAAGAAGGAGACGAAAGGGAGAAGCAAGAAGGAGACGAAGGGAGAGGCAAGAAGGAGACGAAAGGTAGAACCAAGCAAAAAATGAGAAAACCGAAGAGAGAGAGCAGACGGAAGGCCAAAAGGGCGCCTGACCGATCCGATCTGGTAGCAAGGACGAAAGGGAGAGGCAAGGAGACGAAAGGGAGAAGCAAGAAGGAGACGAAAGGGAGAGGCAAGATGGAGACGAAAGGGAGAGGCAAGAAGGAGACGAAAGGAGAGGCAAGAAGGAGACGAAAGGGAGAAGCAAGATGGAGACGAAAGGGAAAGACGAGGAAAGGCAGAGGCAAGAAGGAGACGAAAGGGAGAGGCAAGAAGGAGACGAAAGGGAGAGGCAAGAAGGAGACGAAAGGGAGAAGCAAGAGGAGACGAAAGGGAGAAGCAAGGAGACGAAAGGGAGAAGCAAGGAGACAAAAGGGAGAGGCAAGAAGGAGACGAAAGGGAGAAGCAAGGAGACAAAAGGGAGAGGCAAGAAGGAGACGAAAGGGAGAAGCAAGGAGACGAAAGGGAGAGGCAAGAAGGAGACGAAAGGGAGAACCAAGCAAAAAAAAAGAGAAAACCGAAGAGAGAGAGCAGACGGAAGGCCAAAAGGGCGCCTGACCGATCCGATCTGGTAGCAGACGAAAGGGAGAGGAAGGCAAGGAGACGAAAGGGAGACGCAAGAAGGAGACGAAAGGGAGAAGCAAGGAGACAAAAGGGAGAAGCAAGAAGGAGACGAAAGGGAGAGGCAAGGAGACGAAAGGGAAAGACAAGAAGGAGACGAAAGGGAGAGGCAAAAAGGAGACGAAAGGGAGAAGGAAGCAAGAAGAGGAAATAGAAGGCCTTACAGGGCGCCTTACCGATCCGATCTGGTAGCACTTTCCGTCGTGGAGCGAGGGCGCGAAGGGGAGCTCCTCGGGTCCCCGCTTGAGGTTGAGGCCCTTGCAGGGGTCGGGCACGCACTCGGGAGGGCGCCGGAAGCTCGTGAACCAGAACACCTGGGGGGGGGGGGGGAGCAGGGGGCGGCTGGGTCAGCGGGTTCTTGGCGTTACTCTAACTTTATTATCATTTATTATCATTTCCATTATCATAAAAAATATCATCATCATCATCAATATCATGATTGTTATCAACTTTGTTTTCATTATCATTTATTATCGTTTCCATTATCATAAAAAATATCACCATCATCATTATCACTATTACGCTTGCTATCAACTTTGTCTTTATCATCATCATTATCCTCATTATCCTAATTATCATCATTATCCTCAATATCATCATTATCCTCAATATCTTCATAATCCTCAATATCCTAATCATCCTCATTATCCTAATTATCTTTATCCTCATTATCATAATTATCCTCATTATCATCCTAATCCTCATTATCCTAATCATCTTCATTCTCCTGATCACCCCGCCCCCCCCCCTCGCACGCACCTCGCCGGGGGGGGCATCCGGAGAGGCGCGAGAGGACCGGCTCGCACACGTCGTCGTCGAGGTCGTCGTCCTCCTCGTAGGTGCCGTCGGGGCAGCCGCACACGGGCGTCCCGAAGCCGGTGGTGAACAGGCGGCGGCGGCGCCGGAGAGAAGGGGGGAGAGGTGGGGAAGAAGGGAAGGGAAAGGGAGGGAAGAGGAGGGGGGGAGGAAGGGAAGGGGAAGGGAGGGAAAGGAAGAGGGAGGAAGGGAGGGAGGGGAAAGAGGGAAGGGAAGGGGAAGGGAAGAGGAAGGGGGGAAGGTAGTGAAGAGAGGAGGGGAGGGGAAGAGGGAGGGGGGAGATGAAGAGAGGGAAGAGGAGGGAAAGGGAGGGAAGGGGAAGGGGAGGGAGTGTACAGATAAGAAAATACATGGAGGGGAGGAAGAGGAAGGAGGGGAGGAAGGGGAACGGAGGAAGGAAGGGGGCAGGGAGGTGAAGAGGAGGGGAGGGAGGGGAAGAGGAAGGGAAGGGGAAGGGGAAGGGGAAAGGAGGAGGGAGGAAGAAGGGAAAGGGAGGGGAAAGGAAGAGGAAGGAGGGGAGGAAGCGGAAAGGAGGAAGGAAGGGGGCAGGTGAGGAAGGGAAGGAGGAGATGGAGGAAGGGGAAGTGGAAAAAAGGGAGGAAGGGAAGGAGAAGGGGGAAGAAAGAGGAGGGGAAGGGAAAGGGAGAAGGAGAAAAGAGGAAGAAAGTGGGAGAAAAAGGAAGGGGAAGGAGGTAAGAAGGGGAGAGTAAGGAAAAGGTGAAAGAGGGAGAGGAAACGAGGCAGGAAGGGGGGGGGTCATTCATTAATTGTGATCTAAATTGCTTTTGTTGTTGTTATAATTTTTGTTAGTACTGTTATCATCGTTATTATTACAGATATAATTATTATCAATACTATTCTTATTCTTATTTTCATTATTATTACTATTTTCATTATTATTATTATTATTATTATTATTATTATCATTATTGTTATCATTATTATGACTATCATTATTATTACTATCATTGTTATCATTACTATCATTGTTACTGTTATCATTATAATTATCATTATTATCATTACCATTATCATCATTATTATTAATATAATTCTCATTAGTATTATCAACTTTGTTTTTATTATCGTTATTGTTGTTATTATTTAATTACCATATCTATTACTATTATTTTGATCATTATTATCATAATTATCATCATTGTTATCATTACTATTATTGTTACTATTATCATCATTATTTTTCATATGATTATCATTATCATTAGTAGTAAAATATCATTGTCACTATCATTGTTATGAATGTTACCATTTTTTTCATTATCATTATCAGTGTTATCATTTCATTAGCATTATCATCACCATGATTATTATCTTTATCACAGTTATTACTATTACCAATACTACTATCATTACAACCATATGTCATTATCATCATTTCACCATCAGCATCACTTTTATCATTACCAGTATTAGGATTATTAATGTTATCTTTGTAATCAATATTATCACCATTATCATTATTTTGTTTTATAATTATCTACCTTCATTATGTTAATTATCATTTCACTTCTTCACTTCACTCACTGATCTCAGGAACTACACTTTATAGATTTATTCGTGTATCTGATTTAAAAAAGATATATGTATCAATGTCTTCTCTCATTTATTCATCAATCTATTTTTTCATCTACTGATATATTTCATTATTTTTACTATTGTCATTTACCCATCTATCTAATGGTCTTTTTATTAATAAATCTCTTTTTTTCCTTCACTCATCAATCTTTCTCTTTCTCTTTATCAGTCTCTCTCTTCCACCCATTTACCCCTCTCTTTATTACGTTCATTCACCCATTTCCCTCAGCTACTCACGTGGGGATATCCTTTTTTCTTCCATCCATCTCTTTTCCCTATTTATCATCTCTCTCTTCCCTCTTCGTATATCTCTCTCTCTTCCCTCAATTCACCTCTTTCTCCCTCCATCCACCTCTCTCTCTTCCCTCCATCCTTCTCTTTCTCCCTCTATCCACCTCTCCTATCTCCCTCCATCTTCTCTTTCTCTCTATCCACCTCTCTCTTCTTTATCATCTTCCTCCATCCATTTCTCTTTCTCCTTCACCATCCTCTCTCTCTTCTCTCCCTCCATCTTTCTCTCTTCACCCATCCTCTATTTCTCTCTTCCACCCACTCATTTCTCTCCCTTCACCCATCCTCTGTCTCTCCCTCCATCCACCTCTCTCTCTCTTCCCTCCATCCATCTCTCTCTCTCCTCCATTCTCTCGTCTCTTCTCTCTCTCTCTCTCTCTCTCTCTCTCTCTCTCTCTCTCTCCTCTCTCTCTCTCTCTCTCTCTCTCTCTCTTCCCTCCATTTCTCTCTCTCTCCTTCCATCCACCTCTCTCTCTCTCTCTTCCCTCCATTCTCCCCTCTCTCTCTCTCTCTCTCCACCCACTCCTCCTCTCATCCCCGCCTCTCTCTCTCTCTTCTCCTCCTCCCTCCCGCTCTCTCTCTCTCTCTTCCCTCCACCCCCCCCCTCTCTCTCTCTTCCCTCCACTCTCTCCTCTCTCTCTCTCTCTCTCTCCTCTCTCTCTCCTCTCTCTCTCTCTCTCTCTCTCTCTCTCTCTCTCTCTCTCTCTCTCTCTCTCTCTCTCTCTCTCTTTCCTCTCTCTCTCTCTTCCCTCCACCTCTCTCTCTCTCTCTCCACCCACTCCTCCTCCCACCCCCGCCCCTCCCTCACTCACGTGGGCAGATCCCTGGCTCGTTGGGGTCGTGGCACTGCTGGTCGCTGAACACGAACACGCGGTCGGGGCCACACAGGCGCGCGCCGCAGAAGCCCTGGCCAAGCGGGGGAAGGGAGAAAGGGGGGATTAATGTAAAGGAAGAAAGGGGGGGTTAATGTAAAGGAAGAAAGGAGGGAATTAATGTAAAAGGAAGAAATGAGGGAATGAATGTAAAGGAGGGAATAAATGCGAAAGGAAGAAAGAGGGAATTAATAAATAAAGAATAAATGAGGGAATAAATGCAAAGGGAGAAATGAGGGAATAAATACAAAGGAAGAAATGAGGGAATGAATGAGGAAATAGAAATATAATAAAGGGATAATTATAAATAGGAATATGAGGTGAATAAATGAATAAATGCAAAGGAATAAATGAGGGAATAAATGCAAAGGAAAAATGAGGATGAAATAAATGCGAATAAACCGTAAAGGAATAAATAATAAATAATGAGGGAATTAAATGAATAAACAATGAGGAATAATGCAAATGAGGGAATAAACGTAAAGGAATGAATGAGGGAATAAACGTAAAGGAATAAATGAGGGAATAAATGTAAAGGATGAATGAATGAGGGAATAAACGTAAAGGAATAAATGGGGAATAAATGCAAAGGAATAAATGAGGGAATAAATGTAAAGGATGGAATAAATGAGTGTACAGATGAGTGAATAAATGAGTGTGAATATGAGTGAATGAATGAATACAAGAGAGTGAAAATGAGTGTACAAATGAGTAAATAGTGAACATGAGTGTACAGATAAGAAAATACATGGGTGTGAAGATGAATGTATGAGTGAATAAATATGTGTACAGGTGAGTGTGAAAATGAGTATAAAACGAATGAATGAATGAGTGTGAATATGAGTGTTTCGGTGAGTGAACAAATGAGTGATTAAACGAGTGAATAACTTAATGAATGAAATTAATAACTAAATGAATGAATTGGTGTACAAATGACTGAATACATGAGTTGATAAATTAGTGAAAAATTCATGAGTAAAAGGCCATGTAAATATATGAACAAATGAATGTGGAAATGAATAAAAAATACGTTGAGGAGATGAATGAGTCGTGAGTAAAAGTGAAGGAGAAGATGAATTAAAAATGAATTAATAAAATAAAAGAGCAGATAACTGTATAAGTGAATGAATAAATAATTGAATATATGAATGAATGAATGAGTGAATAGAGTAATGAGTAAATGATAGAAGGAATTCATTCATAAGGTATAAATGGATGAGTGAACGTATGAATACACACAAACAACTGAATGGAATAGAATATTAAATGAATGAATGGGTGAATGAATGAGTGAAAAGATATATGAATTAATGAGTGAATTAATGAGCCAAAAGTTATGTGAATCTATATGTGAATTAATGAGTGAGTGAATTAAATGAGATATAAGTGAATTAATGAGTGAATTAATGAGTGAAAAGATATATGAATTAATGAGTGAATTGATGAACCAAAAGATAAGTGAATTAATGAGTGAATTAATGAGTGAACAGTTGAATGAGTGAATCAATCAAGATATTACTAAAATGAAGGAATGGACAGATGAATGAAGAATTGAATTAACAGATAATTAAGAAAATCAAGCAAAAAATGAGGGAAAAATATGAGTGACTGAGTTGATGAATGAATGAACTGATGACTTTGTTAAGAAGTGAATTAATTGATAAGGACATGGATAAATGAGGAAATAAAGGAATTAAACGATAATAAGGAAATCATCTAACGTATAACCTGCAAATGATAATGATGATGATGAGGATAATGGGGATGATGATGATGTTGATAATGAAGATGATGAAGATGACGATGAAGATGATGATGATGATGACGATGATGATGATGATGAAGATGAAGATGTTGATGACGATGATGAATGAGACGACGATGAGATGACGATGAAGATGATGGTTATGCTGATAATGATGATGGATGATTGAAGATGACGATGACGATGTTGATGGCAGAGCCCCGGGGCCTCACCTGCCTGGTGGTGCGGTCCATGAGCACGACCTCATCGTCCTCGCAGGGGCCCTGTTTGAGCAGCTCGTGGCAGTCGCCGTCGGGGAGGAGCACCTCGTCCCTCTCGCAGGCGTCCGAGGGGGGGTCGTCGCGCCCTGGGGGAGAGGGGGAGAGGGGGGAGGTCAAGGGGGTCGGAGGGAGAGGGGAGGTCAAGGGGTCGGGAGGGAAGGGTTCGGGACTTGAACTGTGGGATCCTTGGTGCCTGGGCGCTAAGGGCTTCCAAGTCCCATCCTTTTATGACATCTATTATCTTTTATCATTGTTTCATTTTCATTATTCTATTCATTATTTATAATTTTATTCATTATCTATCACAAGCTTTTCCATACGCTTCGACCTCGGCAAGACGAACGAGGGTACGCTAATGGCGAATAACGAAAAAGCAGAGAGACGAGTGGTCTCTAAGCTCCACAGGGCTTTGAGGGAAGGGCTTCGCTGGAGCTCGTCAGAAGGCCACGTTGTTTGTGGGATCCGTTTGTGGTTTGTTTTGAGGATTATGTGGAAGGACTTTTGGGACAAGAGAAACTTAAATATATGAGGATTTGACCTTCACATCAAAATGACTAAAAATGACTAGTCGAAAATAAACATTCAAGAGGGCTGTAATACATAAGGATTGTGAAATGATTAGTAGTTTATTGATGAACGAATCCAAATCGAAAAGGGAAACGCATGAGTAATGTTATCATCATAGCAGCTGCTCGTGGTCTATGGGTCCTGGTCAGCGCTGGGGATGATACACAGGACACACAGAAGGACGGGACCCTGGCCTTGCGAGCGTGAGAGATACACATGACACCCGACGCGCGCAAAGGGATTCTGGTGAGCGTGAGAGGCAAGCAGACCACACGCAAAGCGACACCTACCTGGGACGTGGCCTTGCAAGGTAGGTATAGGAACGTCGATGACCTGTCTCTTGGCCCTCCGGTGAACCTCCTGCGCCGTGTCGTTCGCTGACCTTCCCACGGCCTCTCTTCCTCCAGATCTTCCGGCCACCTTTCCTCCCTCGGCCTCGAACTGGGCCAGCTCGTTGGCCACCTCCTTCTTGTAGCCTTCGTGGAGGATCTGGACCACCTTGTCCGTCACGAACTGGAGGGGCCCGATCTCCAGCACTTCGTCCAGGTCTATTTGCCCGGCCACGGCGTCTGTGATGTCCATGGCCAGCACCACGGGGACCGCCTGCAAGAGAGGGGCCAGGCCGTCAAGAAGAGATAAGAAGAAGGAGAAAAGACGTGAATAAAGCTGTAAGGAAAAGATGCAGATGAAGGGTGAATGACACACGTGAATAAAGCTGTAAAGAAGAGACAATGAAGTATAAAAGACACGCGAATAAAGCTGCGGGTGAGAGATAGTGATGAAGGGTGAAAGACACGCATGGATAAAGCTGTCAGGAAGAGCAGCTGATTATGTAAAGGAAGAAATCCGTTGATGGATGAAGCTGTCAGTGAGGGTCATTCATCATGCGGGTTGAAATCCACACGCTGATAAAGCTGTCAAGAAAGAGATAATTCAGTAGGTATTATGTGGCGTGAAATACACATATGGAAAGAGCCATAGAAGGGAATGAATAAGTGATTATACAGGATGAAGTACACAAAAAATAAGAATAGAAAAATAAGAAAAAATACATAAAAAATGATAATGAGAACCTGCTTCCCTAGAACCACCTATCCCCTTCTTCACTCTTGTTGAACCCCACTGACCTCTTTCCCAGGCCATAGAACCCCGCTGACACCCCCCTTTCTATCCCCTTCCCCTCCCCACAACCCCAACCCTCCCTCACTCCATAGAACCCTACCCCACCCCTCCCACTCTCCATCTCTCGTCTCCAACCTTCTTGAACTTTGAACCTCCATCCCATTCTCCCTCACCCCCCCCCTACGTCCCGTCTCCAGCCCCCTTCCTCCCCACTCCACAGAACTCTAACCCCTTACTCCACACGCGTTCACTCTCCCTTCCCCTTCCCTCTCTAGCTCTCAGCCTTTTAGGACCCCCCCCCTTTCCCTCAAACTTACTCATACCCTCACTCCCTTCCTCATATACCTCCTACAGAATCCTCGCTGACACCCCCCCCTCCCCCCCCCCCCTTCCTCCCTCCCTCCCTGACCCCCCTCCCTCCCCCCTCCCTCCCTCCCTCACCCCTTCCTTCCTCCTCCCCCTCCCTCCCTCCCTCCCTCCTCCCCACCCCCCTCCCTCCCTCCCTCCTCCCCTTCCCCTCCCTCCCCCGCCCCGTTCCTCACCGCCGGCACGTCGTATCTGCCTGCCCTTCCTCCCTCCCTTCCTTTCTCCTCCCCCCCCCGGACCCCCTTCCTCCCTCCCTCCTGACCCCCCCCCCCCGTTCCTCACCGCCGGCACGTCGTATCCTGCCTCCCCGGCGGCGCAGGTGAGGAGGCCGGCGAAGGAGAGCACGAGGCCGAGGATGGACACCGCCTGCATCGTCCAGAAGATGGTGGAGCCGTAGATGGAGCCGATCTCCTCGCAGTCCCGGTCGGAGCTGATGGTGATGCTGGTGTTGCCGATCTGGGGGGGGAGAGGGGGGGAGAGGGGGGGGGGGTGAGTGAGTGGCTCGCTTTCGGGGTCTGGTTGTTGTGTGTCTAGCGGTTGATCTATCTATCGATGTCTGTCTATCAACTTATCTTTGTCTATCCTGTCGCTCTCTCTTTCTCTCTATAGATACAACATTATATGTATATATATATATTATATATATTATATATATATAATATTATATATATATATATATATGTATATATATATATATATATATATATATATATATATATATATATATATAATATATATATACATATACATATAATATATACATTAATATATATATATTTGGTTTGTGTGTGTGTATGTGTGTGTGTGCATATGTGGTATGTGTGTGTGTGTGTGTGTGTGTGGGTGTGTGTGTGTGTGTGTGTGTGTGTGTGTGTGTGTGTGTGTGTGTGTGTGTAGTGTGTGTGGTGTGTGTGTATACAGATGTACATACAAACAATTATATATGTATGTATGTGTGAATGTATGTATGTAATATGTGTGGGTGTGTATCTATGTCCTCTATATATATCTATTTATTACTACCAGATAGACACACACACACGCACACGCACAGGCACGCACGCCACGCACGCACGCACGGCACACACACACACACACACACACACAGCAACACACACACACAACACACACACACACACACACACACACACATACATACACACACACACACAAACACACACAACACACACACATAACACACATATATACGTATATATAATATATATATACTATATATATATATATATATATATATATATATATATATAGATACATATAGATGAGAGAGAGAGAGAGAGAGAGGAAGGGAGAGAGAGAGAGAGAGAGAGAGAGAGAGAGAGTAGAGAGAGAGAGAAGGAAGAGAACAAAGTATATAGAGACAGAGAGAGAAGAGAGAGAAGAGAGGTAGAGAAGAAGAGCACGAGAGAGAGAGAGAGAGGAGAGAGAGAGAGAGAAGAGAGAGAGAGAAGAGGAAGAGGCACGAGAAGAGAGAGAAGAGAGAGAGAGAGAGAGAGAGAGAGAGAGAGAGAGAGAGCTGAGAGACGAGAAGAGAGAGAGAGAGAGAGAGAGAGAGAGAGAAGAGAGAGAAGAGAGAGAGCGAGAGAGGAGATAGAGAGAGAGAGAGAGAGAGAGATTTTTAATTTTTTATAACCAATACAAAAGAATACCCACATTAAGCTGATTTATAGTGAATAGTATAGGCGAGAACAGTTTCGGAATCTCCTGGAAATCCAACTCCATGTGATAAACAAAGTTACTTCAAATGCACTTAAGTTTCATTAGAGACCAAAGCAAACATCTGCATTTCCTATAATGGATCTAGTACTGTTTATAAAAAGCAAAGGGATGGTTAACAAAAGACAAATCGAAATGTGTCATAAAGTTTGGTTTACAAGCATGACTATTGGTCAACAAGACGTCAATAGACAATAGAAAAAAAAAAAACACTTAACTCTGTGCTTGAGCGGCATACTAACCTAGCTTTGGCTTTTTGGCGCCTAAAGGGAAAAACTGATCAGGTGAGTTTTTTATTTACTTTTTTTTGCATTTTTATTGCAGACAACTTTTTTTCATTTTTTGTCTTCCTGTTTTTTTTTTTTTTTTTTTTTTTTTTTTTTTTTTAATTCATGGCAATATAGGCCTACATATTAAGCATGTCTCTTTTGCATTTTTTAAACAAGTTTTTCACAAACTTTTTGAAATATTTTTTTCTTAACAAATATTTAGAAAACAAGAACGTACCGAGATTTAGAAACAATTAGGCACTGAGATGCTTTGCGCTCGTATCCCCAAAGAACAGCTTCGTCTTTTTCTACGTTATCATTATGACATTCCTTATCTGCATTATCTTCTTCTCGTCCATTTTTCATTTATTCACTTTCTTATTTTCAATTACAGTTATTTCTCTCTTTTTTTTACGTTAACGTGAATAAAAATGATACTGTGACTATTTGTTTCCATACATCATCATTTCATATTATTTATTGACGGTTCTCTTTCTCTGTCTCTACGCATTTATCTTGCAATTCCTGCTCCTCAATTTACATTTTTCTTTGTTTATTTCCCTTTTTATGTTACGTTGTTGTTGTTATTTTTTTGTATTTCTCTTTTTTGTGTTTTCTTCTTCGCCTTCCTGTCCCCCGCTTTTCGTTTCTATTCAAAATTCTTTTGCTCTCTGTCTATCTCCAAATTTATCTCTTTGTTCCTTTCAGTAATTAACTTTTTTTTTGGCTTTTTTTGTTGCAAACAGGACAACTTTTTGAAAGATCTCATTCTTACTGATTTATATTCCAAATCCTCTTATCATCATCTTCTTCTTCACACCCTGTTTTACCCTCCCCTTTCCCGCATACCCCCTTACCCCCCTTCCCCTCTTCCCCTCCTTCCCCCCCCTCCCCTCTTCCCCTTCCCCCCTTACTCGAGCGGGCAAGCTCCCCCTCCCATCTTCCCCCATCCCCCCACTTCCTCCCCTTCCCCCTCCCCCTCTTACCCTCCCCCTCCCTCCTCCTCTTCCCCCTTCCCCTCCCTCCCCTCTCCCCTTCCCCCCCAAACTCGAGCGGGCAGCAGAATCATGGAACGAGCGCCCTTTCCTTTCCCCTCCCTCCCCATCTTCCTTCCCCCTTACCTCGAGCGGGCAGCAGAATCATGGAACGAGCGCCCTTCCCCCTCCTCCCCCCTCCCCACTTCCCTCCCCCTTTCCCTCCCCCCTTCCCTTACTCTCTTTCTTCCCCCCTCCCCTTATTCCCCCTCCCTCCTCCTTTTCCCCCTTTCCCCTTCCCTTTACCTCGAGCGGGCAGCAGAGCCAGGGCACGAGCGCCCTTCTCCCATTTCCCATCCTCCCTCCCTCCTACCCCTCTTCCCCCTCCCTCCTCCCTTCCCCCCCTCCCTCTCCCCTCCTCCTCCCTCCCCTCTTCCCTCACCCCCATTCCCCCCTTCCCTTCCCCCTTACCTCGAGCGGGCAGCCCCCTCCATTTCCCCCCATCCCCACTTCCCTTCTCCCTTCCCTCCCCTCCCCTCCTTCCCCATCCCTCTTCCCTCTCCCTCCCCCCTCTCCCTCCCCCCTTCTTCCCTCCCCTTCCCCCTTCCCTTCCCCCTCTTACCTCAAGCGGGCAGCAGAGCCAGGGCACGAGCGGGGCAGCGCGATGCTGAGCACGGTGCCATTGACTTTCCCGACACGGTTCTCGAAGGTTTTCCCACGAAGGGGACGTAGCACTGGAGGGGGAGAGGAAGGAGGGAGGGAGAGAGGAGAGAGGGGGATGAATGGAGGGAGAGGGAGAGAGGGGGAGAAGGAGAGTGGAGAGGGAGAGAGGGAGGACGAATGGAGGGGAGGGGACGACGAACTGGTTCTCGCAAGGTGTCTCCACGAAGGGGACGTAGCCTGAGGGAGGAGAGGGAGACGGGGATAATGGAGGGAGAGGGAGAGAGGGGGAATAAATGGAGGGATGAGGAGAGATGGGAGGACGAATGAGAGGGAGAGGGGAGACCGAACTGGCAAATGAAATGACGAGCCTGGAGAGGGGAGGGAGAGGGGGATGAATGGGAGGGAGAGGGAGAGAGGGGATGAATGGAGGGAGAGAGGGAGGATGAATGGAGGGAGAGAGAGAGAGGGAGGATGAATGGTGGAGAGAGGTGAGGATGAATGGGAGAGGGGAGAGGGAATGATGGTGGGAGAGGGAGAGAGGGGGATAAATGAGGGAGAGAGTAGGGGATAAATGGAGGAGAGAGGAGAGAGGGAGATGAATGGAGGGAGAGGGAGAGAGGGAGGACGAATGGAGGGAGAGGGGAGACGAACTGGTTCTCGCAAGGTGTCTCCACGAAGGGGACGTAGCCTGGAGGAGGGAGAGGGGAGAGAGGGGAAATGAGGGAGAGGGAGGAGGATGAATGGAGAGGAGAGAGGAGGATGAATGGAGGGAGAGGGAGAGAGGGAGGATGAATGGTGGGAGAGGGAGAGAGGAGAGGATGAATGGTGGGAGAGGAGAGAGGGGGAAAAGAGGAGAGGGAGTAGGGGGATAAATGGAGGGAGAGGGGAGAGGGGATGAATGGAGGGAGAGGGAGAGAGGGGGATAAATGGAGGGAGAGGGAGAGAGGAGGCGAATGGAGGGAGAGGGGAGACGAACTGGTTCTCGCAAGGTGTCTCCACGAAGGGACGTGGGGAGGGAGAGGGAGACGGGGAATGAATGGAGGAGAGGGGAGACGGGGATTATGAGGGAGCGGGAGAGAGGATAAATGGAGGAGAGGAGGAGGGAGAGGGGAATGAATGGAGAGTGGAAGGAGTAGGGGGATGAATGGAGAGGGAGAGAGGGGGATAAATGGAGAGGGAGGGACGTAGCCTGAAGGAGGGAGAGGGGAGACGGGATAATGGAGAAATTGGAGAGGGAGAGGTGAGGATGAATGAGTGGGAGGGGAGTAGGGGATGAATGGGGAGAGAGGGAGAGGGGGTTAAATGGAGAGGGAGGGCGTAGCCTGAAGAAGGAGAGGGAGAGAGGGGGATAAATGGAGGAGAGGGAGAGAGGGGGATAATGGAGGAGGAGGAGGAGAGGGAGATGATGGAGAGTGAAAGGGGAGGATGAATGGTGGGGAGGAGTAGGGGATGAATTGGGGGGAGAAGGAGAGAGGGTAAATGGTAGGGAGAGGGAACGAGGGAATAATGGAAGGAGGGACGTGCCTTGAAGAGAGGAGAGGGAGAAGCGTAGCCTGAAGGAGGAAGAGGGAGACGGGGATAATGCGAGGGAGATGGGAGACGGGGGATAAATGAGGAGGGGAGAGAGGGGATGATGGAGGGCGAGAGGGCAGAGAGTGGATAATGACGAGGGGGGGGGCGTTAGCCTGAATGAGGGAGAGGGGCACGGCGGGATAAGGAGGGAGAGGGAGGAGGGGATGAATGAGGGGAGAGAGGGGGCATGAATGGAGGGGAGGGAGAGACGGGATGAATGGAGGTGGAGAGAGGGGGGTCATGTGGTGCGGAGAGGGATCAGAGGGGATAAATGGAGGACGAGGGAGAAAGGATTTAATGGAGAGAGGGAGGACGTGCCTGAAAGAGGGAGAGGAGAGGGGGATGAATGGAGGGAGAGGGAGAGAGGGGAGCATAAATGGCAAGGAGCGAGGGGGATAAATTGGAGAGGGAAGAGGGGAAGAATGGTGGAGAGGGAGTAGGGAGAATGGTTTAGGAGAGGGAGAGAGGGGTAAATGGAGAGGGAGGGGAGCTAGGGGTGAATGTGGGAGAAGGCGAAGAGAAAGGGATAAAGGAGAGACGTAGAGAGGGGTTGATGAAGGAGAGAAAACGAGGGGAGACGGGGATAAATGGAGGCGAGAGGGAGAGAGGGGGATAAATAAGGAGAGGAGAAGAGGAGGACGAATGGTGGGAGCAGCGCGGAGAGAGGGGTACAAATGGAGAGGAAGGGAGAGAGGGGAATGCAAATGGTGGAGAGAGTAGGGGATAAGAGAGAGGGAGGAGGGGCATAGGATAAGAGAGAGGGAGGAGGGGCGATGATGGAATGGGAGAGGAGAGAGGGGAATGATGGTGGGAGGGAAAATGGGGGATAGTGAGAATACATTTGATAAATAAATGCATAAATGGTGAACAGATAAAAAAATAAAATAAAAGTGAATAAATAGTGGACGAGGGAGAAAGGTGAATAAATGGAGGAAGAGGGGAGAGGAAAGAAAGGGGGATAAACATGAGGGAGAGGGAGAGAAAGAGAGAGAGGAGAGAGGAGAGAGAGAAGCGAGAGAGAGAGAGAGAGAGAGAGAGAGAGAGAGAGAGAGAGAGAGAAGAGAGAGAGAATGGATACCAGAAGGAAATGGTGAAGGGAAATGAGAAAGGAAGTGAACTGATGATGGTGGGGAATAGTAAAATAGCGATAGAAAGAGAAAAAGCAATTGACAATGGATGAAAATAAGTAAAAACGTATCTCAACGCGTGAATAAAGAAGGAAAAAGAGAGAGAAAGATAAAAGAGAAAGATGAGAAACAAAGATAATGAACAACAAGAATAAACACGCAGACAGATAGAAGACGTAAGAGCAAGCTGACGATGAACTAAAACAGAGAATGACCAAGTAAATATATGATAAATATGCGATGCGGTAAATCAATAACCTATTTATATATGCAAATCTTACCCGGCAGGGAATCGAACCCAGGAACTAAACATTTAAAGCACACAACCCTCGCAAAAAAAAAAAAAAAAAAAAAAAAAAAAAAAAAAAAAAATTATAATGAATTAAAAAATTAACTAGAATGTCAAGTGAACTCCATGCGACCTGCACATCTCACACCCTAGACCTGTAGCACCTAACCTTTTTATTTCTTTTAGGACTGCACCCTAAGCTCACGCGAGTCCTTCTGCACCACCCTGTCTCAACCGCCCATCGCCCCAGAATTACTTTTCATACTTCTGAGACCCAAAGTAAACACGGCATAGGTTCTCTGTGTGCCCTTATGACAGAGGAAAATCAAAATAAAGAGTAAAAATAACTTATTGCCTATGTTAATTATACCTGACGAGCCATTTACTCCGTCCAATCTCAGAAAAGGAAAAACTGGCAACTCACGCCGAAGGCTCTGATTCTCCGTCTTTTTAAAATAATAATACAGTGGTGAAATAAGTACGTTTCAATAATAATAAAAAAAACAGTAAAAGCTACGTATATACGTTTTACATGACAACACATACGTAAACATTGACCATATAATGATTAGAGTAAATACATAGAAAAATAAATAATTGAAAATGAAATAAAAGGCTTGCCGAATCGAAATCCTCCAGAGTCCGGATGAGTTACCAATTACTCTTTTTCCTGATATTTCTCACGGGCAGTCAGCCAGAGCGTTCATGAATACAAACACAAAGCTAGGTTACTTGACTGTCTTTCTCTCTGTGTACGATGTAATAATGCTGTAACACTTTTTTATTTTTAGTCGAGTATGCAGATGCCTTCCCTGACAAGGACTGGAACACACGCACTCCCGATATTTACATAAATTTAGAAAGAAAATTATGAATGAGAAGGAACAGTTCCTTAGCAGAATATATTGGCGTTTCAGTTAACATCTTTCTTAGGATCTAATACGTATGATTTTTACTTAGGAAAGCGATGATTACTCATTCTCTTTTGATCCTTTTTATATACACTTTTCACTGTATTTCAGTCGATGAATATGTTAGAATAAGAGTTTTATAAGTACAATTGTAAAGGAATGAGTTTTAGGGAAATGCTTATTTTAAAAATCGAGTTTCGTTGTGAATACTAATGTATATTCATAAAAAAGTATAAAAAAGGCTAGCTTAACATGTCCGAATATGATTACAGAATAATTGAGATGTATTAGATGAGCAAATTAACACGAAGACGAGTTAATTAGAATAAGCCAAAATAAAAAGGAACAATAAATTTAAGAGAAAACAGAGATGCAATTATCCAATCGAAAACAGCTCATATGTTCATATAATATTCTTTTCGCTTGTATAAATATGGACGAATAGGTATGTGAAGAGAAAGACAGAAGGAGAGAGAATGTGTTGAAGTGATCTATTGAGAGCAAGAGAGAAAGGGAAAGATAAATTGACAGATAAAACAGATAGACAGCGTGAGGGGAGAAGAGAGAGAGCGGGGGAGTGAGACAAACTCACATACACATACAGAGAGAGAGAGAGATAGAGGAATCGAGGGAGGAGAGAGAAGAGAGAGAGAGAGAGAGAGAGAGAGAGTCAGACGTGAGAGGAGAGGAGAGACGAGAGAGAGATGGAGAGGAGAGAGAGAGAGAGAGAGAGAGAGAGAGGAAGAGGAGAGTGAACGAGAGAGAGACGAGAGAGAGAGAGAGAGAGAGAGAGAAGAGAAGGACGAGAGAGAGAAGAGAGAAGAGGAGAGGAGAGAGGAGAGAGGAGAGAGAGAAAGAGAGAGACGCGAGAGAGAGAGAGAGAGTGAACGAGAGAGAGAAAGAGAGCGAGAGTGAACGAGAGTGAACGAGAGAGAGAGAAAGAGAGCGAGAGTGAACGAGAGTGAACGAGAGAGAGAGAAAGAGAGCGAGAGTGAACGGGTGAACGAGAGAGGAGAAAGAAGAGCGAGAGTGAAGACGAGAGAGAAAGAGAGACTGAGTGAACGAGAGGAAAGCGAGAGACGACACGAGAGAGAAGAGA